TTATCAAAGAATTTTTGACACAGCTGAATGGTTATTTTTCCTCCGGTCATGAAGTTGGAATTATTTTTGTTAAATCCGAGAATCTCTAAATACACTTTCCTACTCGCCTGTTTTTTTATCGCACTCGTTTAAAGAGCCGGAACATTTATCGTTTTCTCAGTTGGTTGCAAAAACCATCTTGAAAAGCCACTGGTAGTGTATCGTCCGAACATTTCTTAAATTGTAAAAGCTGAATTTCGAGCAACTCAAACATGCCCCAAGTACCAACCTAATACCGAAGAGTGGAAAATCGCAAGGGGACTATTACTTTCTGCAATAAACTTCATCGAATAGTAATTTTCTAACTAATTTGGTCAATCAGATTTGTCATTTTTTCGTTTTTTTAGTGTAACCGGTGAAACTTTGGATTTGAGTTTGATGATTTTTGTGCACAACAGAACAGATGAACTGAGCACGCATCCTCCTAACCAAGTTTGTATTTTTGATATTACTGCCTTCATATTTTGATCAGGTGTTGTTTCATCGCCACGTTCCTCATTACTATTGATGCAGCTGGCAGTTCCTTCATTCTTCTCTGTTTAAGCTTCTTTGATCTCTGCTAATCATATAGTTGTTCAAGTGGGTCCTTTGAAATCACTGTTATACTTGTAAATATGCTGGAAATTCCTCAAGCACAAAGAAAGCAGTCGTTTTTCGTGGGAGCGTTATTTCTTCTGGGACTTTTGTATTCACTGAATTAATCGTTTGACTTGGCGATAGCTGCTGCACTTTCGGCGCCACAGTTAGCGGAAAGGCTACGAAAAGATGGCAAAGAAATGCAGTCGCAAATAAGTATATTCTGCTTGTGGGAAGGCAGACAGAAGAAAAAAAAATGCGTACGCTTCTTTAATACACATCAGCAGTATTCGCAAGCTGATCCTGAAGCACAAGAGCTGGCGGTGCAGTGCGTAGCATGTCGCATCCTCTTATGGGCACAAGTGGTTCGATCTTTTCCCAGCTCAATCCATTTGCAAAAGGAAGGCTCCATTCACGATACACTGGGCTTAGCCAGTTTTATCTGCAAGGCTAGAATTTGGACATTGCTAAATTTA